TGAACCATAACTCCATTTAGATAATAATAATCAAATTATCCAAACCTGGAAGTACATGTTTTATAGATTTTGGTCTAAATTTAATACAAAAATGCGGTAGTCCTTGTTTGGAAGAGTTTATTAAGGGTTAGCAAAGAAAAAGCTTTTTCAATAGTCTATAACTCTCTAATGGCCTTTTTCAAATAAAATGGGAAAGAATTTGAAAAGAAACCTATATCAGTGAGCTGCAATTGTAACATTACAGTACAGGTCTATAAATCTTGACATGTTCAGAAGATTGCCTAAACCAGCAATACAATCTGTCCAAACCTCATTGTCTTCACGACCAGCCAGACTCATTTTAAGAAATGTATGTGGTCTTCAACCTAATTTTATCACCTTCATTTGTAAACTAGTCAATCAATCAAAGCATCCTGTGAGTCTAAATAGAAAAAGGAGTGCATTTTCATGCATTTCCAGACAGCACAGTCAAAAATTAATCTCCACTTGATCAGACATTCCTTGCCCTCATCTCAATAGACCATCATTAGGGTCAGCAATGTATATTAAAAATAGAGTTGCAGCGAACTGCTCGCCAGGGATTCTCTGCAAGCTACCTGCTGCCAGATCAGTGCTCATGGCTCCCTAGGAGCCTGTGAGAGAAGCCTGAGTTCGTCGGGGAAAGAGCAGCCTAAAAACAAACTTAAAAAGGGGGAAAAGAAAATTGTTAAGGAATTCACGTTCTGCACCAGCTGTTTCTTGCCCCATCGAGCTCTGGGGGATAACAGCCTGATGAAATGTAAAGTGGGATCCCAGATGGGACCGTGTCTCGTGATCTTTTTTTCCCGCTCACATTACCTGCTATCTGTAGACATTATTATTATATACTTTCCCACTTACATATATTTACTGTGTGTGAGATGGGAGTGAGGCTGAGTGGGTTTATGTCACGGCGATGGGCAGTGAGTATGCACTGTGCCCCACAGCCATCATTGCCGCTTTTCCATCACGGCGTTTACGGCCTTTGTTAGCGAGCACCTTTGTGCACCGCCATCCTATGGATACGGAAAGGTCCATGGAGAGTGACTCCTCCTCTCCTCCTTGCAGCTGCTTTTCTCACCTCAGGCAATGCTGAGAAGCCAGGAAACTTCTTTAAGGAAGGGCTCCCAGGTGGATTTTCAGTTGATGCTAGAGTGTAGATGCATCAGGGCAGGCTGGTGACACAAGGAGCCCTGGACAAAGAGTCCATGCTCTAGGACTCTGCCACGGCAGAGCTGTCACTTGGGCACTGGATGGAGCAGTGCAGGAGAGAGCAGCCCTGAGACTGCTCCAGCCACTGTGGATCCTGGGGGATGCTCCTGGGCAAAGAGGCAGAGAACAGGCAGTGCAGGACCCAGGGATGCGAGATGATCATGAGAACTCCTCCTGCAGCACAGTTTGAAAGCCATATTGTTGGTATTTAGGAAAGCCTGTGACCAGGGTGCCAAACATCAGAAGTTTTGGCTTCTTTTCCTACATCTTAAATTTGTTTTGGGGCATGAAAAAAATGCCAGAATGAGAGACTTGGCACCTGAAGTCCTCTTTTCACCTGCCGTACCTTTTCTCTGACTACCAGCAGATGGGCACCTCCCTGAGCAGAACAGGATATTGAGGATATTCAGCAAAGTCAGAACATGCCTGAAGCACTTGGAAGTCAATAGAAGCAGAAGAACATGGCTAGTAGGGAAGTTGTCAGCCTCACTTATCTTGCAAGTGAAGCTTGGAAGTGAAGTCCCATTTTGTGAGAGCTGACTGCAGCAGCTGTTACCAGTTCTGCTAATGAGAAGGAGCTGCTTTCTTGCTCTAAGAAGGCAGGATCAGAGYCAGGTCTTCTTTGTTTCTAGTTGACTTGCAGCACAACATCCATTTCCAGAAGAATATCTAGTTGGGATTACAATGGTGGAGAAGCTGTTGATATGGCATAAATGGCAACAGCACTTTAATCCATGAAATTCATCTGGGTAAGAAATTCTCTTTCTAAAACTGCACAGAGGTCCTCCTCCAACTTGGGGAGAYTGCTGGCAAACACAGGACACCCCACTCTGCAGTCTTCCTTCTGGATGAAGGGCAACTGGATGAACCTGTAATATGGGATTGCTGTGGAATTGTTGTGTAGTCATCCTAGAAAGTGCTACCAATTTTCCCTACTCTTACCTAGGCTCTCCTTTTGGTCAGGAAAGGGGTCGTTTAGACCTTCTGTGCCTAAGGAGCAAGAAAATCCTTTTGTTTCTGAAGATACTACTGAGATAGAAGATCACTAAAGGATTATCCTTTCCATTGTGTGCTAGAGTACCCTGCATAGAAGAGATGCAGTGGGTGCTATTCATCTCCCATCAGTAACTCAGGAAGTGAGCCTACTCTGGACCATTTATGGTCCAGAATAGATAGGTTTGTTCACAAAATAGTCATAAAAAACAAATGCATTAAACATAGAAGAAATCGTTATTTTCACATATTTTGAAGAAATTATTAAAGGACATTCTCATCCTTGCATAGAATTACTCCRGTGATCACATCAAGATCAGCTGGAGTTGGAAAATACAAAAGGATTTCTGKGAACCTGTGATACCCTTCTCATGCTTTCAAGGGGGGAAAAAAAAAAAAAGTATATATTCCAGTGGCTCTGCCCTAGCCTGTGAAACCTTGTGATGGATTTGGGTTCACTTTTCCCAGAGATTTCTTTTTTTCTRATTAAAGCTGGTGTACATAGCATGGTCAGCATTTGGGAGCARGGCCCAGGGTTCTGCTGGGTGCCTCTGAGTGAAAGAACAACTGTTCGCTGGGTTGAGCGGTGGATTCAGTGGGTGTTTKAGATTGATGATTCTGTGATTCTTGACCATCTGCTTCTTGTTTGCTGGTGCAGGTGACAGCTTTGGCAGGATAGAAGGAGATARGGAAGCATGGATACGACGCAGGGCCCTGTTCCTCCCTCATTTACACCTGTGTAAATCCAACGGAGGGGTGGCTGTTTCTSCAGAGGAGGTATTTCTGGTTTACCCCACCCCTTGTGAGCTCTTGATCCCGTGCTGCTGAGTTAGCAGCAACCAAGGTGAGGCAGGGGAGACGTTTTGGTGTCTGCCAGCGACCTCTGAACAAGAAAGAGGAACATCCAACAGATGCCTCAGGGCTAGGGTGGGAACCCTGATGTGGGGGCCTCCCAAAAACTGGAGACTTCAGACAAAATGGGCCCACAGCATTTCAGTCCCTAGCCAGGGCCTGAAACAGGTGTTTTAGTCCCTAAGTCTCTTAAGGCTGAGAGAGCTGGGCCTGTTCCACCAGAAGAAGAGAAGGCTCATCAGTGTGTATAAATACCTCAAGGGAAGGGAGTGAGGAGGATGAGACTGGTCTCTTATCAGTGGTGTCCACCGATAGAACTGGAGGAAACGGCCACAAACTGAAGCACCAAAAGTTCCACAGGAACTTAAGGAAAAATTTCTTAACAGTGAAGATGACAAAGCCCTGGCACAGGCTKCCCAGAGAGGTTGTGGAGTCTYCTTCTCTGGAGATCTTCCAGACCTGCCTGGATGCAGCGTGTGCCACATGCTCTAGGTGACCCTGCGTGTGCAGGGTGTTGGACTATATGATCTCTAAAGGTCTCTTCCAACCTTAAGGATTCTGTGATTCTAATCTGTGCATCCTGCCTTTGCAGGGCCAAAACAACTTTGTTCTTACGTGCCCATAAGGAGCGTCTACTAAATTTGCAGAGAATATGCATAGCCTCGAGAGCAGATTCCTCCTCTTTCCAAGTCTTTTTTTCCACAAGGGGTCATTGTGGAGCAGAGCAAGGATGACTTAAAAAAAGGTTATTTTCTTTTCTATTCTGAAGTGCAGTAGCCATTTAGATGTTATTATTCTAAATCTAATTGTTAAGGCATTAATTTTATCTGAGAATATAGCATGATACCTTAACAATTCATTCTATTTATTTCATCAGTGCTTAGCTCAACTACTTAAAGTTTGAAAAATATTTTACTATTACCATGGCTCTTTTAACAAAATGCTAACATAAAATGCCAATCCAATGCGTGAAAAAAAMCTGGAGATTTATCTTTGAATAGATGAAGCATTTTAAAACAGGTCTATATTTATATGTAGTAATTAAGATAAAAATAGAAGTCTGGAGAGAAGATTTTTCTGAATTGGAAATTAAATTCAGCCATAAACATCTATGAATATCAGAGACAATTGCCCATCATCAGACTACTGTTGATTCCCAGGTAACTGATCTTATGGGTCTTTTTCTTTGGAGGTAGGGGGGTCTGCAAATAAAGTCTTTTCAATAATTCAGCCAGGTGGCATGATAAATACAAGTTCTTGAGGCATATTAAGCTTAAAAATAAAAACATGTTTTATCATATGTAACTTTAAAAGTAATCATATAATTAATGGGTGAAAAACAGAGAGAAAGATTGCCAGAGATTAAGATTAAGCCCTGCAGAAGAGAATGTTCTAACTAGAAATTGGTTTAATTAATAGCACATTTTACATAATGATTACAGTGTAATTGCGCTGACTAGCAGAGTGTCATTAAATATATCCATGCTCCTTTACAACACCCTAAGGCTAAAAATAATGAGTTACATTGAAAATCACTATGCAACAGGTTCATAAATAACATTTAAGCCTATACAAGGCGAATACTTATAAATAATAAATATTTGCCTTTTGTAATTGAAGAAAAAATGACAGCCTTCTTTTTCTACTACCCTGTAGATTGTCATGTTATAATGCTGAAAAGATTTTTTCCCCTTGCGTTCTCTAGAAAGTGTTGAATAATTTATTCAAATGCTAATATTCCACATAGCCTGACTTTGAGGAACAAATATTCCTACATAAAGAATAAATGCCAAGTTGCTTATTACCAGCTTCGTTTTASTTTGCATCGTGCAGTCTCCAAAAAACTATCACAGTCTATTACACATGTCAAATGAAGTCAGTGGCCAGATTTTCCTCCAGAATAGTTACATTTCTCTTTATTTAAAAATTACCCCTTCTCCCAAAATGTTCATCATGCTCAGAGCTGTTATGTAGCAACAGCTGCTCCTCAGCTCCAAAAAGGACGACATCATAAACCTGATAACTTTTTAATCTGTAGGTTTTCTCTGGTGAATCAGGAGTATCTAATAAAAACAGATTTGATTTCRTATTAGCGGTACGCTGACATTTGAAAGACCCCCCAAATGGTTCRTATTTAGCTAGCTTACCAATTCCAGCAACCTCTCCAGTGTCGAAATAAAGCAASCTGCAGAAGTCTCAGTTGAGCAAATGGAAATGTTCTAGCACACGTGAATGTTTTAAAGCGTTTCAGCTCCCACCAGTTCTTACACTAGGCCATAAAGAATGGTCTGATACCATCAAAGGTGGGATTGCCTGGCTGGCCTCTTCCCAGTGGCAGAAATGGTGTAAAACTGGTATTATGGAAAAGTGCTGTACTGCTTGAGCATTCTAAGGTCCTTCCAACCTCAGTCATTCTGTGATTTATCTTTGTGTCTAGGGATTTTCTGCAAGCCACCTGTGTGTTTTAGATGTGATCTTCCTGGCCTACAGAGCTGAATCTTCAAGTGAATCATTAATTGTAATAAAAATGAAGGAGTTTCATCTGTGTGATACTGAAGTGCACCACTGGTAGAGGACCAGGACCACAAGTCTGAGGATGTTCAGGTGACTGGTAAATGCRGATCAGTGTGAGGTTTTGCCCTTTGTTAATGATAATGAGGCATTTGCTGACATGCTCATGCCTCTTCTGGCTGGGCAGATAGGGCAAATCTTGGTTTTCTGTCTCAGCCTTAAGAGAAAAATATATTTATATCAGTAAAAAAATCACTAAAATATTTTATTTCTGATTTTTTTACAGCTTACTGCATCTCTTTGGGATCTGTAGAGCCCACTTTACCTCAAAGGCAGGAATGGACTACCAGTGCAAATCTGGACTAAGGTGTCTAGAAAGCAACTATTCCTTACATACAACACCAGGTAATGCTTTTGGCAACATTACTTATCCCTACTGACAGCTTTGGAGGGTAAGGACTACTGAATATTCCCCATTTTTCTGCTAGAGAACTAACAAAAAGTTAGCTCAGGTGACTGGTATTGCATCACAGAAGTCGAAAGCAGTAGAGAAAAAAGAATTTAGTTGTTTTTAGACCTTCATGTTTGCTTCTTTTTCTATTTTAAGTGTATGGATGAAAACATTGGATTATCCCATTGCTGCACCTGGAATCTTCTACCATTATTGTGTGCATAATTCTATGGTGCCAACTTTTGCAGTTTTACTGAGGATCTCAGAAGTAGTCATTTCCTTGCTCTTCCAACAAAAAACCCAGACAGGCCCAGAGCAAGGACACACATCTCAGCTGATGTCGTTTGGCCTGCACATCTGAGCTGATGTCGTTTAAGTGTCTGCACCCCACTTCTGATCCCAGCTGAGCTCATCTGAAAGCACCCGCTTGTGGCCAGGCCCTAAAGCTGCTCCTGCTGGCACAGCAGTGGTCAGGTTGTGGTGGAGCTTCATCTCCCCACATCAGTTACACAGTTTGTGACAGGGACACTAATTGTTTCCACCACAGCGACTTTCCACCTCCCACAGTCTTCTCATTTCTGGCCCCTCTCTCCTATTTTCGCTAGGAGGAATAAGAGTTAATTAATCTTTTATAGACATCCCTCTTTGCAAGATTCACATCTGTGCCCCATGGTCAGTTGTGGTGCTACAGCCACCAAGCTGGCTCTGACTGTGCCCMTGTTTTCTGCACGGAGAAGTCTCAGGGATGGACTAGAGCCCAACATTGCAAGGAGCTCTGCTTTCAGGGCTGTATCCACAAAAATAGCCACTCTCCGACCACRATGATGGGCAACTTGGACGTCATTTTTCCCATTAAAGTGCTCCACAAAACAAGCAGATCATGAATTGCTTACCCTGAGCCTTGGCAGGGATTGCAACTRTTTGTAGAGAGCACTAAAATATTTTTTTAGAATTGGATAGATTGTCTTAATTCTCTCTCTATTAATACCTTAATTAATTAAGCCCAATAATTTAAAAGATCATAGCTAACATGGGAAATGTGATGTATTAATGTTTATATGAATCCTGATGCCAAGTCTGCTGATATCTACATACCTACAAGGGCAACTCTTTCTTATTAATAATRTAGAAAAAAACAGGGATGCATTTTACCACACAAAAGGGAATAAAAAGGCAATTGATTTAAAATGCTTACACCTGGTTTGCTGAAGTTAATACAAAATACCTGTGCAATAGCACAAAAGGGCAGATTTTAATCTAAGAAGAAAGATTAAGAAAGAATGTCTTTCCCTGTTTATTCACTTCTACTGGGCAATAATATAATTTTCAGTCTCACGTCTCTATTTCAGACCACATATGGCAGTAATATTGGATGCTCACCATCGCAGCTTAACCATGACTAAACAGGTTGATGAATGTCATGCATCTTATCATCATACATGCATATTTTTAAATATAATTCACTTTTGATCTGCACCCTTGTGCAGCGGTGAATGAAAACAGTTAAGATTTCTTCCACTGTCTGCCTTTAAATGTATTAAACAGCCCTGCTGTCAATAGATTATATTCTTGTACAATGATAATAGCCCAAAAAACTAAGAGGCCTTGTCAGGAATTGCAGTTGTCACAGTTTGATGCAAATGATTTTACTTGGTGTTCATCTGCTGCACAATCATCTCATAATCTGGATATACATCACAGCATGACATGTAAATTTCCTGCTACTCTGCTTTCATTTCCAGAGGCAGCAATCAAATGAAAACCATTCAACCTCACCAAAATGTATAAATAATTTTCATTCAAACATATTAACAGTCAAAATATGAGAATTTATCACAGAGCACTATGCCTTTTAAGAAGCAATAAAGACTTTACTTTTTAAGCATATTTCTACTTAGAAAAGTAATATGAACAGTAACTTGCAGTTTTAAAAGAGGATTTAAAAGTCCTCACTTAACACCTAATCTTCAAACTTAGGTGTGCAGATGTTGCTTTGCTGCACATACTGCTTGTAAAAAAATAGCCTGGAGAACTGTTGGGGGAACAAGGGAATACATCTTGTTTCCAAAGGGTGCCATTCAAATTACTGATTTTTCCTCAGACCTGTCATGTAAAAGCAATATAAATATGCATATACAAAGAAGTGAAAATAAAATACTGTTTCATAGAATCCAGTGATGCAGCACATAGGACTTCTAGTATTTTAATTGTTCCTGTCCTTTTATACTCTCGATTATATTCTGATTTAGTTTACATCAAGGATTTTTCTTCCCATTGACCACTATTAACTTTCCAATGGAGCCTTACAAGCAGGAACACCCAAAGACCCCTTCTAAAACTCATCCTTTGAAATTCAAAAATCTCAAGCAAGCATCAGCTTGATCTTGAGGTCCAGCAGCATTAACTGTCAGTTATCTGGCTCTTGATAAAATAACAGTTGAAGAGGAAAGTATTTGCCTTAGCTGGCTGACTGGGAAGTCAAATGGGATATTAAAGCCTGGGAACTTTCCCTGGTCTCGCAAGTGCGACAGAAGGGACTGGACTGAATTATTTGGGTGATGGGAGCAGGGTGGGCCATTCACTGCTGCAGGTTTGGACCTTTTGGTGCTGGAGAGAAAACTGCTTCTGACCTCTGTGCTGCAGGGCCGGCCTTTGGCTGTGATCCCTCTGGTGAGCACTGGATCAGAGCTGCAAGCGCTGCGGGCCTGGCATCGGACACGTACCCTCTTGCCACCCGCCAGCCCTTGCTGTGAGAACTCCTCAGGATAAGGCCCAGAGGGCAATTTTTAGGAAACTAAGAGCTGGAGTTSCTCCTTAAATGAACCATTTTTGTTTGTTCCAGGGGCAGATTGAGCCTCGTTGCCAGGCTTTGCTCCCACGTTGCTGCATCCACTGTCAGCCCAAATCCATTGACTCTGGTGCCTGCCGAAAGCCCTGGCATCTGCTACAGGAGAGGGAAAAAACCTCTGCCGAGCAAAGGAAGGTAGGAACAAAGGACAGTTTGCTGTTCTTATTAATGACAGTGCTGAAAAAAATCACTGCCTCCCTATAAGTTGGGTGCTTTTTTTGAGAAACAGGTAAAAACTGCTAAGATGACAGTTTTCCCCATTTTTCCAGTGAGTGTGTCTGAGGAAGTAGAAGTGCAATAACCTGGGGTACAGCAGGCTCAGCCATTTGAAATAAAACTTTGCAGTACTAATGTTTTTGTAACTGCTTTCATATTGTAATGATATTTTTCCAAGCACTGGTTTTATTTGATCTTAAATACCTTTTTGGGAAAGTCCAGTGAGCTGACTCTAATAAAATCATGCTATTGAAAAAAGGTTTAAGTGGAATGTTCAGAATAAATTACAAAACTGCATGCAAGAATACCAGCCAGTGCTGCAATAAAAATCTGGAAATGAGGATTCTTGCAATATATTTTAAAGAAGTAGTATACTTTTTTTTGTTCATTTTTTTCCACAGAATGTTTCATAATAGAAAGCCTTTGCATCATGAAAGAGACTGAACGAATAACGAATGAATAAGCTGCCAAAGAAATTGCATTAAAAAAACTTGCTTTTTTTTTTTTTGCTAGAGAATAGATTTCGTATAATTTTCAATAACTTCTGTAAGATAATAGGAAAAGTAATTCTGATCCATTTTGCTGTGCCAAAATACCTAAATTATTTCAGACTGTCAGATTTTGCACATGCACACTCATGCATATCTGTACAGGCCCTTTTGATCAGGAGGTGATATCAGGAAAAAGATAAAGCTGCTTTTCCCTGCCCTGGAAAGCATGGAAAGTCCAGGAAAGTCCAGCTGAGGCTTCTGCCTGACGTTTTTCATAGACTTGCTCTTCTCCCGTAGATCAGTTAGGTCAGATTCTTACAACTGAATCTGACTCTGGATACAAAAGGTGTAGAAGAGGAGAGAATTACCAGTACACGAGTGTCATTTCTGCCTCTCTCACCTGTGCTGGGAATCACAAGGGATCCCGGGAGGCTTTCTCAGTTGTGACACATTTGCCTTGAATTGTTCAGCCTAGGACTCAGGGCAGGGGGGGTCGCTAACTGGAGGGCGTGCTGTACCCCTAATTAGAGGGACAAAAGATACACTAAGTATCGATGAGCCTGGGGAATTACTTTCAAATCACTGAAAACTGCCTTTTTTTCAGTTGCTCACCTTCTTATTTCATTTTTGCAACTAATAATATCAACATTATTTTTATCCTGCCAACATTATTTTTATCCTGGATTTGCACTCCCTGATCTGGGCAGAAAATGGTTCAGTGAAATCAAATCTATTAGCTGTCACTCATTTGCAAGCAGGTCCGTGCTTGTCGTTCAGTGCACTGCAGGCAGCGGTGCGAGGCTTGGGAGCCGGCGGCCTCCGGTCTGTGTGTCCCAAAAATGTGTATCTGGAGGGGCAAAATAAGGGAAAGAGCCCGATTTTCTTTGCTCTGTGGGGACACCATGCTTTTATACCTATGAGGACTTGGCAGTATCAGTGCCCCCCGTGCATCCCTCCTGGCAATAAGCAGTATGTGCAGCCTTCATGCTGCTGTGCTTCAGCTGCAGGGTCTTTGCAGCTGCGGGCGGATGCACGGGGAGGCCATCGCTGCGGTGCCACGAGAGACAGAGCTCCTGCAAGGCAGCTGCTCTCTTGGCTATGAGGAGGTGTCAGCTCTAGCTGCAGGTTTGGCAGAGGATTTTGGTGCGGGATGGTGAAGAAGCTGCAGAGGTTGAAGGGGAGATTGTTCCCAAAGCATAAGGGGAGAAGGGACAGGCCTTTAATGGAAGCTGCTGGTCAGTCAGTATGGAAGGGCTGCTAGAAGGGCTSTATGCTGAAATACTCATCCACAGCAGCTGTAATACCAGTCTTGATTTGTTCCTTTTCAAGAACTTCAAATGAATAAGTGGCTCGTTGCCTGGTGATACTGTCCCCTCCTTTTGACTGTCTGTTGGGTGCATATGGTGGAGGACAAGTGGGGAGGAAAGGAGAAGCTGATCAAGGAGACCCAAACTAGCAGCCCTCAGTTGAACCAAAAGCTTCTTTGTTTGCCAGTTGTCCTCGAGAACCATGGAGGAGGTGATGAGATCAGCAGTGACCYGGAAATCCCTCTGGTCTGTAAATACATGCAGTGTAAGGAGGACGAAGGCATCGCCACTTGCTCAGGTCTGGTGACTAGACTTCAGGCTGTCCATTAGCCCAAACATCASAGACAAACTAAGAAATGCAGTCACATTATGTCTTGATTATGCCTTGATGTTGGACTACGCAAAACCGGTGGTCTGTCTTCTACCTCACTTTCTTCAGCCTAAAACTTAAATTGTCTTTGTTCTTGCTGGCTTTGTGCTTGGAGCTCAAACATCTCACACCAAGCACAGGTGGAAGGCAATATGTCAGATGAGGTTTCTTCTCTCCCTCGAAGGAAGGAGTTTTCAGGGCAATTAATCAATGTGGTGTAACCATATTAAATAAAAATTTGAGCTTCAACTGTGTAAGAAAGCATGGATTCYAGGAGACGTAAGGGCAGGCAGTCCTATCTGGGCTGAAACACTGGTGAATAATAAGACGATATGTAGTGACACTGCGAAAGAAATGCAGACAGCTTCTTGGTTTGTGCAACATCTCCCCAGGACTAGCACTACCCCGCATGACTGTACCCACTGACATCCATGTATCTAGCTGTTCACTAACAATAGCTACTTAGACCTACATATCCAAATTAGCATTACAACAGGGTGCAAGTTCTGTTCTTACACTTCTAAGATTTATTTTCTATATTCAGAAATGGATTTTTTTACTACAGAGTAGTAATTTTTTGATTGCATCTGCCTGCTCCAGGAGAAAGAAGTGTATACAATTATAGTAAACATGCCTTTTAAAGGCAACTGTAATAACTTGCGGGTTGTGCAGGAGATACTGGCATTTTCATGCTTTGGGGCTAATGGGGACACAATGGAGAAGGCAGCCATTGCCTTCAGCCACGTCTCTGTCCCTGGAGTTTGCTGTGCTGTGTTAAAATAAGAAATGAATTCTTGTGCTCTGCTGGGGAGAACTCTACTTTCCCAGTGAAGTATTCTGTTTGTACTGGCAAGTCCTGTAGCCACACAAACACCCACAAAGTGAGAGCCTACGCATTGCCGTGCAAATTAGCCACACAAAGATTTAGGCAGTAAGTCTGAAACCCCATGTGATTTCAGGCCAGGTCCTCCTTTCACTTCCAGAAATGTCTTTAATCTGGATTTACATAGATATCTCTGAGATCTCAACTGGCATTTTGCTCTCTCAGACGAGGGAAATCAGCCATTTTAGAGAGATAAATGTCTCCAATGTGGTCAGCGTCAGACACAGAGGGAAAGGTAGGCAGACACTATTGGGAAGGTGGGCGGAGAACTGGAAACAAAAGTCAAAGGAGCATCAATCCTTTGGCCTACAAGAATTCAAGAGTCAGCAGAAAAAAAAAAAAAAAAAGCAACAACACAAAAAACATAGTTTGGCCCACAGAGACCTTCTTTCATTCCTTGTACCAGGGCAAGTGCCACTGGTAAGACTGAGGCAAAAGGAAGATGGTGATTTGCAGTAGTGAGGTCCTGTGGGAACCAAAGCTGTTCAGGGTCAGGGCAGAGTCCTTTGAATGTTCTGTAGCACCCAAAGTTATGRTCAGAGCTTTTGGTCCTCTGGTGCCTCTTCTTGGAGCCTGACATACCAAAAATCTAAAGGTATTTCTTTTCCCCTAAGCATTTACTGGTGCTCCAGTCTTGGCAGTACTGCACAGTCAGCTCTGCCCTTATCCATGAGGTTTCCAAGGAGATTTTCTTCCATCTTTCTCAGCTGAAATGGTAAGTGCTGTAGGAAATGCTGCATCCAAAAACAGAGAGAGTAGAAGGGCTAGGTCTTATTTCACAGAGTCACCCAGTGAATCAGTTTTTTTCTCAGGATGGCAGGGATCTGTTTCCTGTTCCTCACAGAATTTAGAGGTATTTCTGGTCTCTGAGTTGTTAGGATTTTTTTAATATGGAGACTGAGGCTCTAACCTCTCAAGAGACACTGAATATTCTCCTTGCACTGTGTGGGTAGCTTAGAGACCTAATGCATGACCATGCATTCAGTTACATAGAAAAGCAGCAAAAATATTTTGAGCTGTGACTTGAGCAGAGTGTTATATTTGTAGGTTTGGGCCTAAATCTTTGGGCCTTGTCCATCCAAACTCCAAATATGGAAAAATGACCGGATAGGTTCGATCTGGAACGATGGAGCTGGATCAAAACAGTACRGTTCTAAGAACGGGCAGAGCTCTGGAGAAAAATGGGACCTGGATGTCTGGGAGACAACTGATTTATCAGATCTTCCTTACAATTTCCATTACTGCTGCTCCAGAAAGCCCCCAGGTAATGTCTGAAGCTCTCCACCCCATTGGGAAATGCTGCAAATTTCTACCAGGGCATGAATTCCAGCCGACATACAGCTGCTTAGAGGGAATCGGTGTTTGAAATACAGCACTTCAAAGCTCTGATGGAAAAGTTCCATGAAGAAAACTGCTGAGTGCCAAGAGAAGAAGCAATTTTCTTTATGGAGCAGCCTTGCAATGTCCAATTCCAACTCACACTTTTTATGAGGAATAAATACATACTCCACAAATTTTGATGACCACTCATATTTTTATTTCAGTAGCTTAAATATTTTTCTTTCAACTCTAGGAGAGGAAAGGGGAGGTGCACTTTATACTGCTCTCTCCCAGATTTTCTGCTACCTGATTTGGGCGCTCCAGGCAGATTTCGATGCAGTTCAAGCAGGAAGCACCAAGGAGCACAGAGCAGCTTTCCTGAAGGTCAGTACTGTCCATTGCCTGCTGCCCAAATAATCTGGCAGTCAGATCCAGGTGAGCAGGATCCCACATTCATGCAGATCATTTACAGACTTTGCTGAGATTCCTCAGCAGTGCCAGATATTTTACAACCAGTATTTTTTTTCCCCAAAGAAAGCCGT